TTCAACTTTGAACTTATGCTTATTCTAGTGTATTTTTCTCTTGTTACAATCAGAATCAAATAAGTCCCTAGTTACCTCCAATTGACTTGGATATTTATGCTTTGTCCTATAAAGCTGTTATGCCAATATATCTGGTTAACTTTTGTAAAGTGCACTACATTTTCGAAATGCAATTTTATAGAATCATTTTGCAAAATTAAACGATAGTTTTGAACAACAAACTTATTTGTATGTTCATTGCACGTTTAGTATGTTATGTACATAAGTAATTGGATTACTAGAGAATGACTAGTCACGAAGCTTAATCAATTTTACTTGACTGCCATTTTTGAGAAACGTAAACCCCGAAAGAAAATGCTAGCAATGCTGTAATTACAATCGTTTTGTTCTTCTTCAGAATTTCTTTCCCTGCTGCCACTGGATAAGCCTCGTGCCATTTTTTCGCCATTTTTGCATCATGAAATTCTTCGTCCCCATTCGGTCCCTGTTTATCATTTTCTTTTTCCTCTGTATCATGACCTTTCGAACTTTCAATTTCCTCTTGTTGATTCTCTTCATGACCAGAGCTAGCAATTGCTGCCTCTTCGCGTTCATTGTTTTCTGGTAATTCTTTTGGGATGATCACAAACAGAATCCCGTCTTCAATCCTTGCACTGGTATCCTCAGATTTCGATTTTTCAGGTGCTATCGTTGATTTTTGAAAGCGAATAAATTTATTCTCGCCTACCTTCCTTTCTCCACTTACCTTTATATTGTCAAATGTGTCAACTTCAAGCTTCACCTCCTCCCTTTTGAATCCTTTTAACAAATTAAAACAGCAAGATACACATATAATGAATTAACCTCATAATTGTTGAGTTCAATCACTGCACATTATTCCGACTCGAATATTTGTAAATTACAATCGAAATGACAACTGAAAAGCAGATCTTTTTTTGGAAAAGCAAAAACGAGGAAATAATGAAGTATGAATACCAGGAAGATCAATTAAAAGGTAATGATTTTCCGCATCCTCTATCCAACCGGATGAAGGTTCAATATCTTCGTACACTGGATTGACTGAAGTTGTCAAATTAGTCCCTCTTCTGTGATCCCCGTAATGTTCCATTAATTAGACTTGTTGGATGAACTTGTGAAATAATGTTAATGATGTATTCTGTTGCAATTGAAATCGTACATATATATATATATATATATATATAAAATTGCCAGAAATAAGAAGATGGACAAGAAAATTAAGCCTGAATGGTGTTATATTGTTTATTTTATTAGGAGCATATTCAGATAGCTTTTCTTGCAAGATCCTGCAAATTTTTGTTCTGTTATTTTACCCTGTAACACACAAAACCTATATTTCTTCTTGAGAAAGGCAATGTTCTTATTCTATACTTTGCTTCAATTCAATTGAGAAAGCCAATGTTTTTATTTTATGCTTTGCTTAATTCGGCCTCCCTATCATCACTGTTACTACCTTGTATCACTGGATTTGCCACTGGTAGAAGTGGCAACTGCTTTTGCTTCATCGTGAACGAGATAGGCTAGTCTCGTGACTTGTATTAGTTGCAATATTTGAGTCCTCCATATCAGGTAACTAGAGGGATCGAGTTTAATGGAGACTGAAGCAATGAGATGGTGAAGTGAAGAGACTGAAAGCGAGTTGGAAGCTTATGTCATTTGGCTTCTAAAACAATGTTTTAGTAGTCTAAGAATCATAGCGAGAGAAAAGCTTAAAGCTCTGATACCATAAGAAATCTAAAGATAATGTATTGCACAATGATTTGTAGTAGCTAATGAAATTTACAGCGCATCATAGTGTGCTTATACACTTACAAGTGGTGCAGAACATAGAGAGTAGGCAAATTGCAGTTTGATTGACATAATATTCTTCAATCATATCATGTATATAATAAATAGAATATGAAGTCATCAGAATTCAGAAGCACACATAGTGTTCCGTCAAGCATCAATCTTATCAGAGAGGGCAATACAAAAGTTCATTTCATAGTAGATTTCCAAAGAATTAGCTCCATGAATGTCTTAACAAGAACGTATTCAAAAATTTAAATCGTTTTTAACTGCATACGAAGAGTTAAAAAGAGTATAGAGATGCAAATCTCCTGCTTTGTAAGACACGGAACCAAAATGCTTAAAAAGATTCATGTCATATAAGGTTCAAATAACCATCAAGTGAATCCAATATAAGAACTTTTGAGTTTGTCAACACCTGGTCATGTTAATCTTCGACAAATAAAAATCAAGCTGGTTCCAATATTTCAATAATTAAGAAATAATTTACTCCCTTCGTTTCACAAGAAATGAGATGGTTTGATTTGATATGAAGTTTAAGAGTATAAAAAACTTTTATATATTGGGGTTTTAAATTAAAGTTTGGTTAAGTGTACAAAATTGTCTTTTGATCTTGTGGCCTTAAACATATCACGTGAAAAACTGAAATTAAAATGTTACCAAAACAAAAAAGAGATCATTCTTTTTGCAACGCTAAAAAGAAAAGGAGGTCATTCTTTAAACAATGGAACTAATATTATATACCTATTTTGCCCTTATCATAAGTACTTCAAATTATTTTCAACATTAATGACTTAAATTAGAAATGTTATAATGTAAAATTACTTTCGAAAGAGGGTCATATTTGCCCATTAACTCTTAGAAAAGGGTCATATTTACCTTTCGTTATCATCCAATTTTGGGTATATATTTATTCTTGTACAGTTAAATATTATATCGTTGCGCTTACATGATGCCTATGTGGTCAAACCAGTTTTTAAGTCGGTTTTTGACTTATAAAGGTATTTACAAATATAAAAATGACTTAAAATAAGTTAAGAACTTAAACATAATTTGAATAGATAATATATACATTTATAATGCTAGAAAGCAATGTGAATATATCTAAATCTAGATAAGTGGGAAATACATTATTACAAATATTGCACGTGTATCCGGGGCACAGTTGAATGTAGATATCATGAACGCGAGGTGCAGGATACCAGGCCGAGAAACCCGGGCAACCATTCCCCTATGTGCCAATCGCTAGCGCATCCAGGGCCCCGGCGCCCAGCTCAGCTGGAGAGGCCTAGCCTGATCTGAGAAGTGCTAATTCGGTTCGGATAGACTTCATTCAAGAATGCCACCGCCCCGGGAATCAATAAGAAAACAAGTGCTAAGTTTCAGATCAGTGAATAAACCGAAAGGAAAGAAGAGACCTTTCTCGCTCAGCGCCTAAAGCGCACTATGCTCCGCTCCAACAAATGAGAGTTTTCGGTGGAACCGGTGAACCACGCGAGCTGGTTAGATGCGTGGGACAGAGGGCTCGTAGTACCTGCTAGCGCGGCTACGCAGTGGAAGGGAAGGAGCCTAAATCGACCCCCTTCTTTTTTTCTTTGAAAAAAGCAGTAAGGAGTAAGGAGATTAAACTCTCGGATGAGACTAAGCAGCTACCGACCGTTCCGACGCGCCCTTGACCTATTTTGATTAAGACCAAAAATCTGAAATTGATCCAACCAATATTTTCTATGCACAGTGTTATTGTGAGCTAATATTTCCTTATATATAGTTCATATTTGGGAATGAGATAATTTTTCGGTTTCTCAATCTTTTATTTCTTAATCTGTTCCTACTCCACTAGAGTTTTATTAAGAATTTTTTGACACAAATTTTTTGACACATAATGGGACGTGACTAAAAAAATTTCCCCATGCAAGAACAAACGGACCAAATGATTGGTGTATTAACAAAAAGGTAAGTCGAATTCACTCTAACATATGATTGGAGCTATGATTATTTTTTTGGTTTTCACTTGTACATGTTAATAGTTTATAACGATCTAGATAAATTAAAAGTCAGTATCACAGATCTTATTATATAATTTGGAAAAGTTCTTTTAAGTAAGTAGGATATTAGTCATTTGATGCAACATAGTACCTGTTTTCAAAATTTTTATTTGATAAATATAGAGATTTAAGTAATTTAATACAAAGTTCTAAAATATCATATAAAGTTATACTAATATTTAGCTTTAAAAACTTAGAAATATAGTGTATCTTTCTCTTCTTACAATGAGAATCGAATAAGTCCTTAGTTACCCCCAATTTGACTTGAATATTTGTTGCTTTGTCCTATAAACAGACCCATCAAAAAGGGCCAATCTAGCCTCGTCCCATCCAAGCCTTGCGGGCCAAGGAATTTAAAGCGCTAGGGCGGGTCGACTTTTCATTTGGAAGGGCATGAAAATGCTCAATCTAATCTAACCCTAAAAGGGCCGAGGGTTGGGGCGGGCTAGCCTTTTTTTTCTAATTTATAATTCTATAACATCAAGAAAATGAGAAGTTCCTAATCATAATACGGTAAACAATGGTGTTGTTTCAAAAATACTGACAAAAAATTTAGTGTCATTAGCATGTATATCACATACCAGATACAAGAGCGAGTTAAGAGAGTGAAAAGCAAGATGGAGGGAGGCGGAGCGCAATATTTGTCTATGTACCCTAGATACATAGAGTGTAACAAATTAACCTAATTTGAGTCTATATATTCCGAGATACGTGTATCTGAACATAGAAAAATCTGGTAAGATTCATAATATTACAACATAGCGTATATTTAAGTAATTAGATTTTTTATTAGTAGATTATTTTAAGTTTCTCTTAATTAAAAAGTTTTGGCTCATGAGCTGACCCCAATCAAGCCTCAAGGATGAATGACTTATATGTGCCAGACTTATAAGACCTAATTTTAAATGGACTTGAAAAATCTTATCTCAACACCAATTTCAATAATTGGTTGGGTTGGGCCAACCCATGGGGTAAGCCCATTTTAATGGTTGTACCTATAAAGGTGTTATGCAAATATTTCTGGTTATTTTGTAAAGTCCACTACTTATCCGAAATGCAATTTTATGAAATCATTTTGTAAAACTAGATGATAGTTTTGAACAAGAGACTTTTATTTGTAGGTTCTCTTGATGTCCATTGCACGTCGAATGAGAAATACTAATCACGAAGCTTGATTGATTTTACTTGACTTAGATTTTTTAGAAATGAAAACCCCGAACGAAAATGCAAGCACTGCTGTAATTACAATTGATTTGTTCTTCCTTAGAATTTCTTTTCCTGCAATCACTATACCTACCTCGTGCCTGTTCTTCGCCATCTTTGCATCGTGGAATTCATCGTCCTGACTCAATCCTTGTATGTCATTTTCTTTTTCCTCTGAAACTTCACCATTTGAACTTTCTATTTCCTCTGTATCCTTTTGTTGATTATCTTCATGGCCTGAGCTATCATTTGCTGTCTCGTCGTGTTCATTGTTTTCTGGTACTTCTTTTGGGATGATCACGTACAGAATCCCGTCTTCAAGCTTGACGCTAGAATCCTCATATTTCGACTTTTCAGGCGCTTTCACTGATTTTTGAAAGCGAATGGATTTATATTCTCTTACCTTCCTTTCTCCACTTACCATTATATTGCCAAATATATCAACTTGAAGCTTTACTTCCTCCCTTTTGAACCCTTTAAACAAATTAGAAGAGCAAGATAAAAAGAAAAAGATAAACCTCATAATTTATAATGATTGACTGTATAATATATGTTAATTAAAACACATTACTCTGACTTGAAAATTAGTAAATTACAATGGAAATGATGAAACGAGGAAAGTATACCAGGGAGATCAATAAGAAAATAATGGTTTTGAGTATCTTCTATCCAGCTGGAAGAAGGTTCAATATCTTCGTATACCGAATTAGCCCCTCTTTTGTAATACTCATAATGTGCCATTAGTTAGACTTGTTGGATGAACTTACTGTGTAATAATTCTATTGATGGATATTGTTTATTTTGCTAGGAGCATTTTCAAATAGCTTTTCTTGTAAGATGCTGCAAATTTTTATTCGGTTCTTTTACCCTGTATGTAAAAGCCTATATTTCTTCTTGACAAAGGCAATGTTTTTATTCTGTGCTTTTGCTTCAATTCAAATGGTAAAAGATGTAGGATTCAAAGTTGGTCATTTATTGCTGTTAATACTATTCACATTTTGACATTACACAGAGTTTGATTAACAACTGCGTCAACTTCCTCTAGATAACCACAATGGCCAAACCCCTCCATTACAATGTTGTATGTCACCTTGTGGCTTGTTGGGCGCAAATCCAACACATTATATGCTACGATTCAAGTGTAATGCTTGGTTAAATGAGCCATATTAACAAGGACGTTGCTCTATGTTGTCCTTTAGCCTTTACTTTATAGTTTAGAAAAGTTCATTTTGAATTCCACTAAATTATATTCCCCAAAACATTGAATTCCATTCCACTTTATGAGTAATGTTTCCACTATACCCTTCCTATTAATTAGTTGGGTTTAGATAGACTGAAGTTTTAGAAAATTGCCCTAATTTTTCAACATATACTAAAAACAGAATAATAATCAATATAGACTAAACTTTAAAAAATTGAAGTTTTGTTGGTTATTTCCAATATCATGGTGAAATTAGGGCAATTTTGTAAACTTTAGTCTACTGTCTAAACCCAATTATGATTAATCAAAATTACATGTATCGCGCTCTTAATTGATGAATAGTAGCATCATTAGCACAAGAATGATTGTTAATTGATAAATGAAATATTTATATACTCATGAAAACATTGCACTATTAGATTTTTAATGTGACATGTTATTGTGAAACAATTATAAAGTTTTATACACAAACATAGACATTTATAGATTATAAAAAAACACACATGAAAAATATAGAAAAAATTGTGGTCACGTTTATAGCAATATGTCTTTCTTGCGATTTTAAAATCTCATACTTCTTCTTCAACTCTTTCAAGATTTTCATGAAAATTTTTTTTAAAAAAAAAACCTGTGTTTTCGCTACCAAACGCATCTTATTAGAACTATTTGTAGATTTTTATTTTCCGTATATATATTTTCATCAAATATTGTACATAATTATTTAAAGATATCTAAACTTTTTTATTATTATCTAATTATTTAATTGAACATGTTTATAGTTTATAAAGATATAGATAAATTAAAAGTTAATATCACATGTCTTATTATATAACTTGGGAAACCTTTTTTAAAGAAATAAAATATTAGTCATTTGATGCATATAGTACCTTGATTTTTGTTGTCAAATTTTTTATTGATAAATATAAAAATTTCAGTAATTTAATTTAAAGTTTTAAAATATCACATAAAGTTATACTATTATTTAACTTTACAAACTTAGAAATTTGAACTATATATGAAAATAATGAACTTTTAAAACTATTAATTGTAACTTAGTAATGCACGTAGTAAATTTCTTGTGGTTATAACAAGTGTTTTGCAAAAGAATTAAAATTAATTGTAACTTAAGATATTAAAATCTTTTTTTGATGATATGATAAGAAGATTGAATGCTTTTCCATATCACTATACAAGAATTTTCAAAATGTTAATATTAAATAAATTGGAAATGGTATTTAACTTTATACATTATAATTTTTGTATCATTATAAATAATATGTTTCATTTTTCCTATTTAGTTTGAGTTGTTCGAAGAATTAAGTGAACAAATTAGGTTAAGTTTGTACTTTTCACTAATTAGTTTATATAACTCACTTGTTAGTTTTTATTTTTGTTGTATATTTGGTCTCCATTTGTTTATTTTTCTGCACACTGGTTTTAACTTTTATATATCATATTATTATTATTTTTTTCTGAGTCAATTATTCTGTTTAGTCCGCCAAAAATAGAGTTTGATCTTTTGAAGATGCTTTATAGTTTTGCATCTACAAAAAACTACAAGTGTGAAATTTTACTTATGGTATATTTTGAAGTGGGCTTCTGTACTCAGAATCCGATATTAATTGGGATATATCTCTGAGTTATATATACGGCTTGTTGTGTATTCTTCCACCAAAACAGAAAAACTTATTAAGCACAAGGATGTCGAATTGGTCTGAGCTTAGTATGATCTGCTTGTTCTAATAGTACAGCGTATAAATTTGATTGAGGACTACCTTACTTTTGGGGCCGTTTGCAAATCTTGGCAATGCGCCGCCACCAAGGACAATTTCAACAGTGACCTGCCTAGAATTACGTGGTTGATGTTAGCAGAGGATGAAGACAATTCCTGTAGAAAATTCTTCAGCCTCTACAATGGCATGATTTTAAACAAGAGGATTCCGAAAGCCATAGGAAAACGATGTCTAGAGTCTATGGGATGGCTAATGATAGTGAAACAAGTCTGCTACATCCCTTCTCGGGTGTAGAGATCGAGTTGCCCCATCCAAACACTACCAAAAATTATGAAGACCATGAGGTAGGCTATCCGTGGACTTTTTTTCACAAAGCAGTTTTATCAGCTAGTCCTTCTCATACATCGAACTACATTCTCGCTGTGATTGACGGGAATATGAAATTCTTCAGTTTTTGGAGGCCAGGAGATTTGAGATGGACAAGAATTGACAATGTAAACTCTCCCTATAAACATATACATCGTGATCTGGTCTATTATACTGAAAAATTTTATGCAGTTGATTGGAGTGGCCGTGTGTTAGTCTATGATGTTACTGGTTCTAGTCCCACTCACTCTCAAATAATAGCCATCTTACCACCCCATCACAAGGGAGACGAGTTCTATATCCTAGAATCAATGGGGTCATTATTTGTAGTTGTGCGCTACGGTGTAAAAAGTAGGGCACCTATCAGAGAAGATAGTAGCAGGATTTCATTAACACCAATATATGAAGATGATAACGATGGTGAAACTTATGGGACAACAAGTTTTGGAGTTTTTGAGGTCGATTTAGCCGCTGGAAGATTGAGGGAAACCAAGGAAGTAGGGGACAGAGCTCTTTTTCTGGGTGCTAATGCATCTATCTCAGTACAGGCTTCTCATTTTCCAGGGGTCAAGCCCAACCATATTTATTATACTGATGATTTTGTGGAATCATACCTCTCCTATGAAGAAGGGGGTGGCATGGATATGGGTGTTTATAACATAGCAAATTGCAGCTTTGAGCCTCACTACAACGGTGTTTCTCTCAGTCGTGTTTGTCCACCGATTTGGGTCACTCCAACTCTGTATTGATCTGTATTGCTTGCTTCCATTTTATATTATGTATTTGGAGAATGTTTCATAATTTATTTTATGCAAAACCATTTTCCTTGTTGAGCACCATAAGTTATATATATGTATAGATTTATGTATATGTTTAGATTTATAATAAGAACAAGTCATCTGATGTTGATGCTCTACTATGATGCTTTAAGCTGATGTTTGTTTTGAAATTATTCTATAATAAATGGATGACAGTATCATTACCTTTTAGTGTAATGCTTATGTTTTCCAATTGAAGTGGTATGGTACTGTGTAACTTCTCAGTGTTCCTTTCAATCTCAAATGTCAAATACAGCTTCTTCTTAGATTGATTTTCTTAGAACAAATGGTGATACCATTCGTCTATGGTGTCTGTGAATTTTATCTTTTTCTGTTAAAACTCGTGTTTTATGGGAGTTGCTTCGAATTTTGTCTTTCTGCTAAAAGTCGTGTTTTATGGGAGTTGCTTCCGAATTTCAGGATAAGTTAGCAAATGATAAGTTCAGCTACATTAAGATTCCTTTACTGCACAGTGTAGCCTTCTGAATCCAGTAGAGTTGGGCACTAAGTTAGTTATAGCCATTGTGCTATTATAACCATTCATTAACTGCCTGACTTTTTCTTTGATTAATTGGAAATCCAATGATCTAATCCAGTTAAGTTATTAACAAGCCATTTGGTTTCTTGGACTTTTACTCTTTAGAGCTGTTGAATTTCTGCTCTATATGTTTTTGGCCTCCAGGGCTTTTGCTCTTTTGTTTTCTATAAATGTGTATCAGTTTGTTTTGCAATATACAAAGGTGTGTGCTGCTGGAGTTCATAACATATCTGTTATGTAGAAGGGGGCGGCTTGGATATGGGAGTTTTTAGTTCAGCAAATGGCTCAGCTTCGAGCCTCACTATAGCCATGTGTGATGTTGTCCCTCAGTCATGTTTGTACAACAATTTGGGTCACTCCAACCTTGTATTGATCCGTGTTTCTTTCATTTATATTATGTATTCGGAGAATGTTTTGTAATTCGTTTTACACTTAACTCTTTTCCTTGTTGAACTCCATAAGACTTATTATTGACTTGTGACCTTGATGAATATGCTTCATGGCTATGTCTATTGTGTAGGTATGAGTCGTATAGAACTTTCTGCAATGAAGCGTCCACAGAGGTACAGAGAGAATGTGCAGGTTTTCTGTTCATCCCCACTCGTTTCTTTGGTGAGTTTCTTTATGCTGAGAAATTCTCTCAATACACTCTCTCTTTCAACATGCAAATTGGTAGATTTTTAGATGCTTATTCTGGGACGTCATATTTATGAATTAGTTACACACGGTACTAATAAAGGAAGCAACCTCTAACATTTTACTCGTCAATAAGTAAAACATCCAAGGCTTGATTGGGGATATATAATAACAGGAACGAATTTTAACTATCACAAAACAGTTACATGTATATATGTGTATACAAGCTGAGGACACTGTTGTAATAAAACAATATCTCTAATCAACTTTTTTTTATTTTATCCCTCCATAGAAGCTCCCACTCTTTTTGCTCCCTTGAGATTCGATCTCACCACTTTGGGATGAAAGTGAAGAGCGAGCTACTTACTATTCAAGCAACTCCCTCTGGAATGTCCTTAGTCAGGGAAAATAATCACCGCAACTAGTAACAACGTTTGATTAATATTTCTCTACTATATTAATACACGAAAAACAAAATTGTTGAAGAACTTATAGAAGCCAATGTACAACACTCACACTCATTCTCCCTCAGTCTAACTACCAGCTTGGTAAATAAGAGGAGAAAGGGAGCAGATCGCTAACTCTATACACTTTATAGGTACTATTTGTATTGTAAACATCTTATTTTGTTGCTGAGGCTGAAAATGCACTAACAAGGCCTTCCCTCAATGCATTTGAGAGAGCCTGAAAATTGCGTCAGGCTGCTCACGGATGATCCTGGCTTGGAGGTGATCATATCAGGACCTTTCAAGAATGCATGTTTTGGATCTCCAGATTCTACGAAGAATGCTCCGTTCATCATAAGATCTCCCTGTGATTTCCACACCCAATTCTTCCACACATTCTCGGGTGCATAGTCTCTTTTGGTCACCTACATAGAGGTAGAAAATTGGGTATACGTGATACTTCAGTCATCTATTAGACGTGTTCCATTGTGCTGTTTCTGGAGAGTTAGTGAGAAAAAATTAATGTTTTTTCGTGTTTACCTCTTTGGCATTAGGATTTGGAGGAGCGATAAAACGATTCCCCTGGCTAAGGATGGTGGGATGCATGCTTCCTCCAATGGCATACATAAGCCAATGTGTGTAATCATTGTTGACAACATGAACAAATCCCCATCTAACTCTCGGCATCCTCTGCGTCAAACCGTGCCCAAAGTGATTGAATGCAAGTGTTATTTGCATAACAGAGTCCCCTGAGGCAGTATCACTGGCACCAAACAACATGACCTACAAAATTTAAGCAAGAATATCAAAGGATTGTCTTTCATTCTCAATTGAAAAAAAAAATTAAGTAGATAGGAGTTGGAATTTGGAGATGATTTACGTCATTATGCTTGGTGAAATGGCAATTGGAAATGGTAATGGCTGTGGAACCCTCAACAGCATCAATTAGACCATCCTGACAATTGGACATGGAAATGTGATCGATCCAAACATTTGTTGATCCAAAGATTGAAATGCCATCACCATCACTTTTCGATCGATAACCATAATGACTGACAGAGTCTCTAATTAACCCACCAGCACCAGCCTTAGTATCATGAATGTGAAGGTTACTAATAATCACATTGTGTATAAACTGTAACATAAGGCCACCACCATGAGCAATGTGTACTTGCCTTCCTCGAGCATCAATCGTCTTGTTGCTTGTCATGATAAGCTCCTGGTTAAGCTTAATTACCATGTTCTTAGCAAATATAATCCAAAGTGGCTCCGGCTGGATGACAGCGTGGCGCAATGTGCCCGGCTTAGGATTAACTAACTCGTTGTCTGAATTGTCCATTACTACATAGATTTTTCCACCTTTGCCTCCCGTTGTCTTGCGGCCAAAGCCAAGGACGCAATCTGTTAGTTTCATGCGGTTCCGAGCCCAGTTTGGATCACACCTCCAGCACTGGTCGATAGGATTAGTAGCCATGCATTTTCCGCTGTACCTTTGCAGGTCCCTTCTTCTGCTTTTGCTGCCTCGTACAGCCCTTTTCAAAATTTAGGCTCAGTTAATTAAATATGTACATAATTTATCGTATATAATAATACTAGAGTCCTCTTGGAGTAAAATGTTGCATTCAACTTGCATGCTTGATTTCCTACTCAGCTCCAAATAGAAAAATGAAAAGGGTGATAAAGAAATGAACTTTTGAGTATTAAATTTCTTATTATATATGCCTTTAACTTGTGAAGATCGTCGAAAGGCCATGTAAGGAGACAAATTGTCATTCATTCTCCGATCATGTGGGACTAATAATACCTTTGCACGCCTATACTTGACATTTGACAACTTGAGCGTGAACAAGATAATATGATGGCCTACCGTTGGGTGAAACAGAATTGATTGGTCTTAAGTATTTTGATATCAATGTTGAAAAAATAGATTTTGTACCTAACTTATTTCCATAAGTATATGTAGCCGCGCGGAAATAGAAGGCCTTAGCCCAATATATAATAAAGGAAGAAATGAGAGGGAACTTACTTGTCAACTTGGTAGTTAAGATGGTCAGCAACAATCTTAGGATTAGGATTATAGGCATGTCGAGCAGCCTTCTTTGCTTGCTGGGCTCGCTTCTTCCACACCTCATCAAATTCCTTAATATGTGCCTCAATGCTAACAACTAAAACAACCAAAACAAAGAATAAAAACAAATTACGCTTTGGTAATCCCATTTTTGATAATCATACGTACAAATTATATTGTGTTTCCCTAATTGATGGTATAGTTTATCTCACTTATTTTTCTTTGTTTTAAGTTTAAAAGTGAATGATTTAGATAGAATTCAGCTTAATATCCTCCATACTTGTGAGGCAAGAACAGAGTAAGTAAATTATGAAGTTGTGAGGGAAAAGTGGAGAACCACTTTCTAATTTATAATGAAATAATATATCGCCTTCTAAATTTGTGACGATGGATTTTATTTCAACATGTGAAAGAAAGGATATTAGAACTACTATCTTTCTTACAGGCTAAGAATACGTCCACTAATTAGTGTTAATAAAAAATTCATAAAAGAGATTACCATATTTGAAATCAAATCAAATATGATCAACTTCTTGGAACTCAATACTAAATTAAAAGAAATATTAGATCAGCTTTTCAAGTGACTCGAGGTAATTTGGTGATGCATTTGTCAATATTGGTTACGACTTACGTGCGACTTTTTTCCTTAGCATTCTTTTTATAATTTTGTTAAATTTAATAGTTAGAGTTCATTAAATATTTGATTGAGATCAAAAATTAGGAATGACAATGGAGCGGGGCAGTTGCGGGGGCAAATCCATATAAATCCACGGACACTTTGATCCGCTCCACATGGACTAATTTGCTTTTTCAATCCGTCCCAGATTAATTCGCCTCATTTAAACCCGCCTCGCATAAGTTTTCTTATTATTATTTTTCTTTGTTATTTAGCTTTAACATTGGACTATAACTTTTTTTTTGGATATTCAATTTATAAATTTTAATTATGAAACACAATTAAAAATTTAACAAAAAGATAAACAAAAATAAATAAATAAAATCAACAAATTCTATCAAAACAAATTCTTTTTTTATAGTTAAAGGATTAAACCGTTCAAATGTATATTTAAGAAACTATTTTAAACCTACAACAAACATAAGGGATCAGTTTAATCATTTTAGGGGGTCAAATATGCCCCTAAACTATTTGTAAAGGTTTAGATATACCATCCGTTTAAAGTTTGGTCTATTTATACCTTCACCGTCCAACTTTTGGTCTACATATGTCCTTTTGGGCTTTAGTTGACCAACTCGGAATATCCAACTCATTTTACTTTTATTTAAATGTCAAATGGATTTTCCAGGTCATTTTTATATATTATCACTTGACATTTATATTCAAGGGAAAAGGGTCAAATATGCTCCTAAACTATTCGAAAGGTCTAGATATCCCCCGTTTAAAGTTTGGTCAATTTATACCCTCGTGTTCAAACTTTTGGTCTATATATGCCCTTATGGGTGTTAGTTGGTCAATTCGAAATATCCAACTCATTTTACTTTTCTTTAAATGCCAAATGGATTTTCCACATCATTTTTATATATTATTACTTGACATTTATATTAAAAGAGAAAGGGGTCTTTTATGCCCCTAACTATCCGACCTAATTTTAAAACACATATACGACCCATCTTTAAATAATCTATACAACCCGACCCTTTTTTTTAAATACCATATATCTGTCGGATTAGGGCATAATTGAACCATTTAAATGGCGAACACTATCGTACTCTGATTGGAACCGCCGAGGAATCAATGGCACGACAACTAAAGGAAAAGAAAATCGAGGTTTGAAAAGCGTTTTGGCGCAACGCAGAGCTGGAGGCGCAAACCTGACAGGCAAGGGCTAGAGCAGAGGAATTCACCACAACAACGTTACAGATACAACTGCAAGCTGCAACAGGCGATGATGTAAATAACAAAATAATTTACACATATATGAGTCGGATTAGGGGCATAATTGAACCATTTAAAAAACAGTCGTAAATGTGTTTTAAAATTGTGTCGGATAGTTAGGGCATAAGTGAGTATATATCTAAACTTTTTCAAATAATTTAAGGCATATTTAACCTTTTCCCGTAATTTTAATTGAATCCACCCCTCAAAAACCCAAACCCCTCTTCTTCCTCTGCCCTAGTACCATACTCTCACCGAGAAATCCTTACCGGAAAAACACCTCAAAATCAACCTGCGGCATTCAAAGAATCTCCTTCATCCTTCGTCACTGTACTGTAAGGCTCTAACCTCACCTCTTTCTAGTGACTAATATAGAGTCTATTTGTTCAAGCAGTTTGATACTTCATGATTTTTTTTGTTCTTGTAAATTGGTTGAGCTTCCCTAAGAAGTCCAGCAATATTTTCTCGTTCATGGGATGACATACTCTCAAATTTTCACTCTCTCTATATACTATTTTGGTTTGTGAAAAGTTGGTAAATAGGATAGAAATGGAATTCAATCGTGTTTAATTTCTTATATCTGTCTTCACTATGTTGGTCGTAACTATCCACTCGTGGTATCTTTTCATTCCCATATTTGATACTTGCCTTGGTTTCACGAATTTTGTCTTTAAAATAAGTGTTAATATAATCGTAATTTATATCATTAAATGAAAAGGGAAGTGTATAGTGTCCTTCTGAAGTTTTATTTTATCCTCAGGACTTTCCTAATCTCTTCCAGAGTTGAAGTCCATCAGTGTTACGTAAAATGGAGGATAAAACAACGAAAGATTCTGAATCGATCAACTCAAATCGGAGGGGTAACAGTAGCCAGAAGAGGGAAAGGGGCTTGCAGATTGAAGGATACTCGTTAGAAGGGATATCAATAGCAGGTCATGAGACGTGCATAATAGTTCCCTCGCTTAACTTAGCCTTTGATATTGGCAAGTGTCCTCAGCGTGCCATCTCCCAGCAGTTCCTTTTCATCTCTCATGGCCACATGGACCACATAGGAGGACTGCCTATGTATGTTGCGACTCGTTCCCTTTACAGAATGAGACCTCCTACTATTATTGTACCAAAAGTAATCAAAGAAAGTGTAGAGAAGCTTTTTGAAGCTCACCGAGCTATGGATCACTCAGAACTGAACCATACTTTGATTGGGTTGGATGTGGGTAAAAATCTACTTGTATTGATTATATAGCTCTCCTTATTAGTTATTACAAAGTTGGAGTTAGCTCTAAATTCACAATTTAAGTGAATATGTGTTTGTGCATACACAGGGGAAGAATTCTACTTGAGGAAAGATCTTAAAGTTAGAGCATTTAAGACTTATCATGTCATTCCTAGCCAGGTTGAGTACTTCCCTTTATGCTCTGAGTTTCAATTGCTTACTTTCCCTGCCCATGCTTCTTTCTTGTCTGTATTAAGTGGATCCAAACCAAAAAATGTGCTTTGTTCTTTCTAGGAGAGGAAGCAGCTGCTACAGTCGGATGTTATGACCTTTGCATTTTGATCTCTTCTTATATTACTGTTGTCTATTTTGAGGTTTTGATCACCTGGATTTTATGGTGCAGGGTTATATAGTATATTCAATCAAGCAGAAGCTTAAGCAAGAATATGTTGGCCTTCCAGGAGATGAGATTAAGAAGTTAAAGTTATCAGGTGTGGAGGTCTGTCCTGATATCATAATTGGTTAGGAATTTATCTGATTGCATTTGTTTCTTAAGGTTTGTTTAAAGTCCAACCCAAGGGGTGCTTTTACATTGAGCAATTTCTTTTTGACACAGGTGCATCATGCACCTGTGCAGCCTTTTTGGTATATAATCTTGCACAAGAATGCATCTGCAACGAACTTCCTGCATATCTTATGTATCACAGTATCAGTATGACAAAGATTCTTTATTTTGACAGATCACGAACACTTCAACAGCACCTGAAATTGCATTTACAGGAGATACAATGTCGGACTTCATCAAGGATCCCAAAAATGTTGATGTTTTGAGGGCAAAAATCCTCATAATGGAGGTAAATTTCATGTCTTCAACACCTGCCAAAAATGTACCTCGTCTGAAACATGACGCTCAATTTCTGCGACTCGTTGTAGCCGTTATTTTCTCCCTTGAAAGAATAGTTTCATGATGAGGTTTATGTGGTTCTTCTACTTCTGGTCTATATCTAATATACACTATCTGGACATAAGGCCTTGAGGACCACTGTTTTATTTTTAACATTCTTACTGCCTATCGTGTTATCTTCTACTTATGACACATTGCTGAGTTATTTTTAGAAGGTCTCCTATACATTTCTGTATAATCCAGCTATATCAACCGCATGAATTCATCAACTTATGGAGTTAACAAAGTTGCCGACTAGTATGTATCACTGATCCTTATGACGACGACACAATTGGATTAACTAATTAGCCTATTAATCTCTTACTAATAACATAGGCGGAGAGCATCGTTGCTTGCGTTGACTCTTATGCAAATAACATCATAGCTGGTACAGTAGAATTGGCAGTGGGAAGATCTTTAGTTCAATTTGCCTTTTCAACATTACTGGTTCCAGAGATATAAGTTCTTCTTTTGTGATTCTTCTCCAGAGCACTTATGTGGAGGACAAAACGACAGCAGATAATGCAAGAGAATATGGACATACTCATCTGTCTGAGGTGATTCTTTTTGTATTAATTCCTGATAATCACTTCTGATTAACCCAAGATTTCACTGGAAGTTAGAAAAATAAAATCCTGAATGTGTTATAAAATTATTAGAAGTCTGATATACCTCTCTTTATGCGTTGATGACATCCTACCAGATTATCAATTTCGCAGACATGTTTCAGAACAAAGCCATCCTCTTAATCCACTTTTCGGCCCGATATCAGTTGGATGTAAGTTTGATTCTCTCTCTCTCTCTCTCTCTTGATTCAGACACCAAGCTGTCACCAAATCTAACCAAGTGTCCTAGATTCAGAACTTCTAGAAACTACTCTGCTTGAGCTTCCCTAAGAAGTCCAGCAATATTTTCTTGTTCACAGGATGACACTTTCAAATTTTTACTCTCTCTCTCTCTACCATTTTGGTTTGTGGAAAGTTGGTAAATAGGATAGAAATGGAATTCAACTGTGTTTAATTTCTTATGTCTGTCTTCACTATGTTGGTCGTAACTATCCACTTGTGGTCTCTTTACACACTCCCAAAGACCAATTAATAACATGCATTTTAATAATTTTTATCATATTTTTACATCAGTGCTTCCGTACAGCATTTTGGAACCCTATCATCATTTGTGGTAGGAATATGTGTTAGGAAATGTGGCTTCCTACCATTTCATGTTCTTAAGGTTTACCAATTAATCGATCTTCCCCAGGATCTAATTCTAGGACCATCTTGTTTCATTGCTTTTATACCATGCTAACAAATAACAATTCACTTATCAGGTTATTCAGGAGGCTATTTCTGCAATACCTCCACCTTTGGCAGGCAGAGTTTTTGCGCTTACAGAAGGCTTTTGATGCAGACACCAAATCTATGTATCTGATTTTTTGGACATCTCCATTTCCTTTCCCCTCCCCTATGATTTGGCTGATTTTTCAAAGAGCAGTAATGATGAAGAAATTTTTTGCTATGGAAGTTAGGTTGTAATAGCTTAAAACTAAGCCAGATCCAGTTCAATCTGATAAATTATGGTCCTCCGGGCCCTGGGGACATCTGGATTTTTGGGGGAAAATCTGATTTGTATTTATTGATTAATGTCAGCAGTCAGCAGATATTATTTTATGCATGAAATTACTAAGATGGAAATCATAGTACTGATAATCTGATAGCTAAGCCCCAATCTCATCACTATATTTCTTTGAAAGAGAGAGGAATGGTGTATACTGTATACTTAATATTATATCCTTTAGTATTGTTTTTTTATTTCGAAATATCAGCATTTAGTCTGAGGAAGAGAGTACTAAGATCAGAAAACTACTGCAAAGGCAACCAAAACAATAGTTTCGATCCAAGTATAGGTGCAAATGGAGCAACCCTGGCAAAACTGTAAGCATGGGCGGAACTAGGGTAACCAAGTATATACAAGTTATTTTTTTTATTATTGCAAGAATAGGGACTTTAAAGGGAATTAGGGCATTGGGCTATTATTGGGAGTGAATGTCTAAGATTTTAGTAAGATTCATTACTTGGAAGTCTTATAAAAATTAATGCTTTGTAAGATCTGGCAAATCCCCAACAAAGATAAGTGATAGTAGTTGACAGATTTTTATTGAATAGTAACGTAAACGCATTCACATTTGTATGTACGTACTAATACGTCGATGACATTTGAAAGAAGCATGACACACACAGGGGAGATTGGAAAAATAAACTGAATTAACCTATGGACTATGGTTTATGGCCATAAGGTGTGATAATAATTCAAAGAAATACACAAGTGGATACAGCACAATTGAATTTTAAGCATCAACAAACTCATACTTCACTTGGAGTAATGATTATACAAGAATATAAAGTTAAATATGTGTGAATATGAAAATTGCTGAACATATTCCAACGTCTCAACCGACAAAATTGAAGTACAATTTAAAATTAAGACAAACTTCCAAATTACCAATTTCACTCTTTTACGTGGCATATATTTAAGATCACAAATTATAAACTTTAAGTAACAATACTTTTATCTTTTCAAATTTTATAAGAAGTCAAATTAAATTATCCATTTTTTTAAAACAAACAATTTATTTTTTTCTAAAGATAAAGCGTTACAATTAAAGGGTTGGCTTCAGAACAACACGTATATCGTTACGTCAATTTTTTGTCACAATGGTGTGCGTAAGCCGTTAAAATTAGTCATGTCTTAGAATAATTGGAGAGAGCATTCAAAATTGATAAAAATCCACTGTCTATTGTAGCACATAGTAATGGTTTTGCATGGCCCCTGGTTTTAGTAACCTTTGACTTCCACAATTAGTTAGAGTAATAACGTAAAATCAAATCTGTCTATACCCATATGCTTTTTCTTTTTTAATTTTTGTTTCAAAAAATTTAATTTTTTTATTATCACAAATAATTTAATTTTAAGATTATTTCTTAATAAAATAATTTATCTACACTAAGATTAAAAAAAATTTAGTGTTAAATAGGATATAATTTTTTTAGTGTTAAATCGGATAGTATCGCATAAATTAGGGAAAAAATGTTTTTTTATTAATTTAAATGACATATTTTATTTTTTGATACAGTTCGATCGAAAATTTACGCATGAAATTTATAAAAAATTAAATAAAATTTTTATATTTGTAAATTACGTAAAAAGTATTATAAATCACAATAGTTTAACAATCCAAAAAATTTAAAAAATATATGACAAATTTACGATCAAAATTATTTAAATCTTAAAATTTAAAATATGTCACATAAATTTAGACGGCGAGACTACTTTTCATTATAAAATCCTTCTAGTTTTACAGCTATCAAACAACATCCCCACCACCTGGCTACTTACGTACCTACTTATCTCCATCAGCCCCCAAATATATATAGATCGATGCCCATCAAGATTAACTTGCAGTAAATTGGAACACTAATTTTCAAATTTAATTTCTTTTGAGTTTCTCTCTGTGTGTTAATTAATTTTCCTGCATGAATATTGGGAAGATTTTGCTAAGTAAGAGAAGTGTATCAGGACATAATTCTTCTAATATATCGAAGAAGAGGAAAAAGAAGAAGAAGAAGATGGAACTTGAAAAGAGAAAGAGTTCAAGGGAAGATATGGTTCAAAAGTTGTATGATACTTGCAAGCAAATATTTGCAAATGGTAAGGCTGGCTATGTCCCTCCTCCTCATGACATCCAACGACTAAAATCCTTATTAGGTATGTATCTATATCAAATTTTAATCGTTCGTGGTCGTAATCAGAATTTTCACTTTGAAATAATCATACATGAAAAGTTTAAAGATTTCAACACCGCGTACCTATCTTTGATTTTACTTACTTTTTATCGAAGGCAAAATTTGTCGCTTCAAAAATATATATATATTTAAAGAGCTTAAAGATTTCAACCTCTTAATATTACAATTATTTGTTTTAGTATTTGGAGTTCAAACTCTTTGAATATTAACACGACCAAAAAAAGTATGAATAAGTTATATATACATTTCCGTAATTTCACATTCAGATCTCAAAGTTTAAGTTTTGAATCTATTACTCTTTTTTCTTGTCTTGTTCTTTTTATTTATTTTAATTGGATATTGATGTGACATTTTAACAAGTGAATGATTTATAACAAGTGTTTGGAATTTAGGAGCCATTACTTTCGTCTATTTGTTGACTGCGTACGTACTCTCTTTCAAAAAATTTAAATCTCACTACGTAGCTTAATTAATTAATTAATTAATTAATTAATGAGCTAATGAAGCTTAGATTATTACATACGCCTAAATAAACTTTATCCTAAACGCCAGATCGTGTCGGTTTGTATATATCTCTATTAAATTGCTTACCCGTGACATTTTTATTTTTAAAAAAATTAAATTATATATGGGAGATAAGTATTATAATTTCAAAATCGAACTTTATAAAGTAAAAATATTCTATTACTAATTTCATAAATTCAATTTATCTCTCAATTTACCTCTTCCTTATATTTCCTTCTGGCTTTTTTTAATCTCTTTTCGAGATGTAATCATATATACTTCGTTTTAATTTATAACTTCATGAAATTAATTCATAAGCCATTAGTGAAAGAGTATGTACGACATAATGCAAATGCACCAAAAGTTTGTTATATTTGCCTTATTATATATGACTTTGTATTATATAACGTATGGCAGATAGTCTTGAACCAAAAGATTTCAAGTTTACAGCACCAAGCTTGGAATTTTCAAGCACAAATCCTGGAACCGTGGAAGCTCCTCTTGTTACCTACATTAAGATCCACGAATGCAACAAATTTTCGGTAATAATTTTTAAAGAATTCGAACCGTCAAAAATTCATCTAAAGTATTTGTTTATTTCGGAGTTTTCTATTCTAATTATCATATGTTTTACTTTTCTTATCTAAATTATTACAATTATTTATCAAAACCTATACTTCAATTATCAGTTTATCCCTTTTTTTTATGTGAAATATCATCGTTTATATTTCAGTTTAAAAAAGTGAAACGATGATAGCTGAGGGGTAGTGTATCAATAAATATTTCGTGATGGTTCATATAGGATATATACTCGCGCACACTTATATTTCAGGTTAAAAAAAGTGAAATGCTGATAGCTGAGGGGTAGTGTATCAATAAATATTTTGTGATAATTCATGTAAGATATATACTCGCACACATGAGTTAGTTTATGTATGAAATTCAAAAAATGGAGATATTTTAGGAGTATTATTTTTATCCTTTCGCACTATTTTAATTAAAATAATAATTTGTTGGTGTTGTGGAAGAAATTTAATTAATTAGTTTGAACTCATTTTTTCAAAGTGTAGATTGGGATCTTCTGTTTGCCACCTTCAGGAGTAATCCCTCTTCATAATCATCCTGGCATGACTGTGTTCTGCAAGCTTCTAGCAGGAACCATGCACACCACGTCATATGATTGGGTGCAAAATCACAACCACCAGGCTAACCACGGTAAAAAAGAAAATTTTAATTTTTACATATATAGAATTAATTAACATGATAATTAAGTAATTTACTACTCCCTCGGTCCACATTTAATTATCATGATTTTTCTTATTAGAGTCAAATTATAAGAATTTTTTTCATCATATTGATATATAAAAAAATTACAATTTATAGTACTTTTCTTATAGTTTTTGAACATCTAAAGTTTTTTTTTTAAAATATCAAGTTAATATAATTTAATTTAACTTTGTAAATTAGTCAAATTAATTTTTAAAAAACTTAATATGATAATTGAAAGCGGACTTAATGCATAATTGACACTATCATAATAGAGCATGCGTCGATTTTTATATTTACTCAATAGTATAAATAATGTTTACACTATCGGCACTAAAAAGTTCATTATGCATGAAATAATTAGTTAGTTTCTTTAATATTGTACTATATATGTATAGCCTGATTCGTTTTTTTCAATTTTGTTTGTCGCTAAAGACGATGCATATTGGCAATACACATCCATTAGCATCGCACATGACATGTTTAATTAAAACGCTAAATTTAAAAATGTTTCTTGTAGATCGCGGGCAACATGAATCTAGGATGAGGCTGGCAAAAGTACATGTTGACGATGACTTCTCTGCACCATGCAAATCTTCAGTTCTATTTCCAGAATCAGGAGGAAACATGCACTGCTTCAAGGCAATAACACCATGTATCCTACTTGATGTTTTAGGACCACCATACTCTGAAGCTGAAGGCCGTCATTGCACATATTATCAACATTACTCGTATGATCACATAAGTTTATCCGGTATGAAATAATATCATTTTTCGAATAAATACTACAGTAAACCGATTTTTATTTATATTAATTTGTGAATTGATCTTAATGCAGATGTTAATAAAGAGATGAAGGAAGATGAGGAAAGATCATATGCATGGCTTGAAGAACGAAAAGATGAGCAGTTTGTTGTGTTAGGAGGAACATATGATGGTCCTACAATCAAACTATGAATTGAAGACCATAGCAAATGTATATTATTAGAGTATTATTTTTGTATATTATTGTATTGAAATACATATAATATACAATTTTGATACAAATAGTGTATCTTTTTTATATATAGTTGGCTAGGCGAATGTAATTATTTTGGCCGGCCGACCAAATATGTAACTTTCCTTATTTATAACTCTTTCAATTGATAGCCAAAATATCTTGTATTCCAATTGGTCTGTTCAGTTAAAGGAAAAAATGGCTGAAGTTTAATCACATGTGCTTGTGTGGATTTAGTTATATGTGAAAGGTGTCAAGCCGACACTGCTTCGTCAAAATTCTTTATTTATATAAAACATGACTACTATTAAAATAAATGTGCAGCACATCGTTTTTTACTAAAAATTTTGCGAAGTCATTCCAAAGTGATTAGACTTGCAAATATTTTTAAACTATATGAATTTTGATTGGAAAGGTTATTCTAACATTCAATTTTGTTCACTCCGGCCCAATGGATAACTCGATTTGGACCACTTCCAACTAAAAGGCCCACAAATGAATGGACTTGCTAAGTGTAACCGTGGGCTACAATACAAATGATGTGGGCGGCCCAGTTTTTGTGTCGCTATTTAATATTTAGCCATTTATACTTTTAAGAAAATAACCATTTTTAGTAAAAATAAACATTAAAGGTCTTTTCTAAAAAAAAATTCTTCATCAATGGTTGACTACAGATGACTATATTACATCAATTATCACTTATTCACCACATATCCATGTGCAATAAAGTACATTTCTTATAATTAAGTATTATAGATGGACGTCATAATAGAAACTCTTGATCTTTCACTTTATAGTTCAAATTTTAATCATTTAAAACATAATTTATCACAACAAAATAAAAATTATATCATCTAGCTAGTTTAGTATATATATATTTTTAACCATAAGAAGTGTTAAGATTACAAGAGGTAGCCATGAGAGAGGGTCTTTAATTTGGAATAATTTTCGATAAAACACTAAAATTAATGGAATGATGAAAAAGGTAGCTCAATGTAGTAAGATTTTGCTATGTGTATGGTTCAGTAATGGATGATATTAAATAAATATAATGGCCAACCAATCTACCTAAACAAATGAAGATATGCTTAAGCATTAATATGGCTTGACGGTCAACTATATATATATATTTACGCCGATTTTTATTTGAATGTGAAATTGAAATGTAAAGCAAAGTCGTATCCAACTATTATTTTTTTAAAAAAATATATATGTTTGAGGATATATAATAATTTTGACTTGGTACCACTCAAGTCCAAATTGTAAATATTTTTATTACATAAATCTGTTCAGCTTTTATCTTAATTGGCTACTTTTTAATTAGCTGGCATGAGGAATAAATAATTTGGACTTTTGAGAATTTATTGATGATCATTGACTCTTTCACATTATTTAAAAATATAGTCTAACCTACGCAAATTGTAGAATTATTGACAAGGAAAAATTTATTAAATTTGCAAAATTTTCATTATTTATCTTTAGAACTTCTAAAATGAAGAACATTTGATGAGAACTATATCTAATGAAGTTTGAGGACAATATTTCGACGTTCTTATTGCTGGAGCGCACAATGAAAATTTAGATAAAAGACTTTTTTTTTTTTAATATGGAGCATATAACTTTACTAAAATATATATATACCAAAAATAAGTAGTAAATTTGGGATCTATAATTATGACGATATAATAGATTTAATGTAAAACGCTTTTAAATTTTTGAAATTAGGGAGCTCAAATTCACATATGATTATTATTGAATTATCGAATTTATTTAGTTGATGGTCAACTCCTTCATAATCTATTACATGGCCGCTGGCTCCTTTTTTTAATTTGCTTTTGTGATTATGACTGGTTTGTAACAAAGTCCTTAACTGTATTAATATATTTAAATTTGTTAGTTCTTGGATCATGTTTCTGAATAAATAAAATAGAATATCTGCATGATGAAACAACTTATTTAATAAAAAAATTATCCCAATAATACAGTAATATAACTATATAAGATATTGAAAGGTCATTGACCAAATGATAATTCATTAATAACATTGTCAAGGCATAACTGTTACCTATATGATAGGCATAACAACTCCTTCCTCGATTAAGTCAAAGGAGGATTCACAATTACTTCTTTCAGTTGAAAAAAGATAATAATTCAAAATTTGTATTTTACAAGTTTGAGTTCATGATTTTTAGAACAATTTATTCCATTTATATTCATTTTGTAAACATTTTAATAAATATAAATAGAATTTGAAGTAAAACTACTAGATTCAGATAAATCTGTAATTTGGACACAAACAATATAAATATTTATATACCATTACATATTATTAGTACGTATATGACTCTAACCTAGCAATATATTAGGTGTGGAAAACATATACAAAAATTAAAATGCATGTACTATAGTCTATATATGACCCACAAAATCTAGGAAACTACAGTGCTTAATTATCTCTACAAAAAGTGACCAAAAAGGCAATGAATAGAAGGAACAAAATCACTACAAAATAAATTCAAATTAGTCGTGAATTTTATTTCTAATTTATTGTTAAATTAATTGAAACTAATGTAACTTTTTACTAATTCATTATTAAATAAAATTATATATAAAATTTTAATTTATATATAATTAATTTTAATTTTTCTTTAATAGCGAATAAAGCTTAACCTCGATCTCAAAACACCTTTTTGAGAATTGGAAATGGAAATAATAGAGAGGGCGGTTAATATGCTGACTTTATAATAAACTTTTTATGGTCTAAAAGCAAGAAAAGTCACTCAAACAGCTGCAAAATTTCTTTTTAAAAAATTGCAAGGTCAAAAGACCCCATGTTCATATCAAATTTTCCTTTAGCAAGGCTATGGGTGTTAAATCAACAAGTTGGATTGAATTTTGACCGGCTATAATTACTGCATTGAGTTAGGTTATAATACCTCCTTTAAATGTAATGATTCGTCAAAAAATTACTTAAGCTGAGCTGAAGCACATAAAAAATCTATATAAACAATTAAATTTTAAATTCTTTTTTTCTATAAGATTTATGTATCTAACTTTTTTTTTAAATGGATCATTATCCATTTTAATTTTTAAAAAATCAAATAATTATAATTTTATGGACTAATTTTAACGCGATTAGCAAGTGGTACTCTTCCTTGTTGAATTTGACAAAGACGTTGAAATGAAGCACATATTCACGTGACATTTAATTAAAAAGGCATAAATTGATTGTAGAACTGATAGGAGTATGTTATATTTATATATATATATATATATATTATAAAGATTAAAGAGTTAGGTAGTTGCAGCAGCCAGACGAGTCGTACGCGTCCTTCAGTAAACATTTTATATAACTAAATAGAAAAAAAATAGAAATTAAAAAATCATCATTAATTTATCGTTAAATGACATATATCTAATGTAAACTTTTTTATAATCCACTACTAATCTCTCATTGCTAATTCTTTACTTTCTTTTTTTAATAGTTGTTCAATATACAATACAAGACTCAAGACTCTTTCCTGTCATTATATTGGATATCTACAAGTTGATTATTTTTACTAATTTTCGCATAATATAATGTCATTGAGAAGTATTAATAATTAAAGTTATCATCAATCTAGTTAGGGTGTGCACTAACAGAATTTTACTATTAAAGTAATTGGATTGTCAACCTGCACGTCTGAATTAAGCAAGTTAATAAATTACCTTAAGTTAGACTTGAATACATAATTAATTACACACGCTACATCATATATATTTTTGTCACGTCTAGGTCTAATACTCGATTTGAAGTTCGACTATATTTGGATTCACTTCTAAGGATAAAACAATATCCAACAAAGGTAATTCTATTTCATATGCCCTTTAATTATTAGATGAATTTTTTTTCATAAAGCGCTATCAAGGAAGAATTACAAATCACTTTAATTTGAATCAACGAACACTATTCATTATCAATTTAGGGAGCACATAGGATCGAGTCTTATACGGATGGCTTAATTAGTTGAATGTTATTGTAGAAAAGGTCATGTACTCAATTTTATTCAACATGTCACTAACTTATAATTAGATATTATTTTAATTCGCCCTCCTTAATTTCACCTAAAAACTAATCATCATTATTAATGTTGATTTCCAATTTTCATGTTTTCAAAATTAAAAATGCCCTTTATTTGAAAAAAATAATATAATGATACATGTGAGGTTTTAATTAAATGGATGACCCACTGTGTCGTCAAGGCTTAAAGGTAAATCCTACTGATAGTTTAACCAACTTTGTTAGGGTAGAGCATTGGTTAATCAAGAACGAAGACTTCCAAAAGATGAATGTAAAGGAGGTGAGGCATGCTCTGATGGATATGTGTACAGGATGATATGATCACTAGAAACAAACACGGAAAAAACTGAGAGTGGCCTATATGGTGGCCTGGACAAGATAAGAAAAGCAACACTGAGATGGTTCAGTTATATATGAAGAGAAAATGTATAGATTCTCTCGCGAAAAGGCGAGAGAGGTTGGTTATAATATAATAAGGAGGGATGAAGGAAGAACTAGGAAGAGGTGATTAGAGAGAAAATGACATAACTTAAGCAAAGACATGATGATAGATAAGAAGATATAAAGGTTGAGGATTTAGTGTAGAATGTTAAGTAGCCGAGTATTGTCACACAACTTCATGTGGGTGAGGTAGGGGTCTAGCAATCCTCTCCATTTCTTGCTAGGGAAAAAAAATAAATATATCCTCGAACTATCGTTAATAGTATGTATATATACTTCATTGTACTTTTGGGACATTGGTGCTCCTACCGTCCAAAAACTGGAGCATATTCGTAGATAAATGTCGGATCAGTGGATAAGATTATGACACGTGTATGTCCGTTAATATAAAGGGTATATATGCTTTAATTTTTAGACGACAGGAGCAACGATGTCCCAAAAATATAATGAAGGGTATTTGCATATCATTTACGATAGTTCGGAGTTATATTTGTTCTTTTTCCATTCTCGTTATTGTAATAGTATTTAGAAATTACATAGGTTTTTTTTAATCGCGCTTCAAATTCTTCCCTTTTTTTACCCTAGAGTACTCTATCATATCGAAACAAATCTAGATTCTATCCCACAAAAAAAAAAGACAAAGGATAGCGGGTGCCCTAGGTCGTAAGTTATTAGATTTGCCTGTTGAAAGATCCAAAAGTGGACTCATCAATTACT